ATGTCGGCCGACATGCCTGGCCAGAACACAGAGGATTCTGCGCGGGCGGTCATCATCGATATGCCCTGGTGGGCAGCGTGTAGGGCGCTCAGCACCTCACCGCGGAGTGAGGGTGGTATGACTACACGGTCCTTGTATAGGATCACTCCGTCTGTCGATGTAATGTTCTCGCGGAACTGGTGAAAGTCGCGAATCATCTCCGGCATCTCGATCTTTGAGGCAGGGATGCCGTCCACTGCCATTTCCTCCAACATGTGCATATCGCCGTCGCTGCTGGTGGCCTCCCTGACGCGGTCCCATGTCACTGATCGCAAAGCTTCGAGGCCCGCGGCGCACCATGCCAGGTTGTCCACCTCGACGTCATCGTCGTCCTCCGGCTCAGCTTGGCGTAGGAGAGATAGGACATCGGTGTGCGTGCTGGGTGAGAGGTGGGTCCCTATGGTGGCATTGTCGTCCGGAAGGTCAATGAGTGATGGTCGCGTCGTGCTGACCGGCCGACGTGACATGGCATGCACCGCCTTGTTCTTCAACCCTGGGATATGTATGATGCGGAAGCGATAACGCAGGGTCTTCTCCTTGAGGTTCCTTAGGCGGGGGTTGGGTATGTCGTCAAGTACTCTGTCCGCAAGGAGTTTCAGGAGCGGCTTGTGGTCTACCGCTATGATCAAGTTCTCGCAGCCCAGCACGAAGTAGCGCGCTTTGTCCAAGGCGTCCGCAACTGCGAGAGCCTCGCCCTCTATGGGCGCGTATCTGGATTCCGCCGCGTGTGTGAATCTGCTGCCGACCAGGGTTATCTTCCATCCATCAGTGCAGCAGAACGGTCTGACTGGCGTGCATCGGCAGTGCTTTTGAAACAACCAGAACCCAATGCCCTCCTTTGACCAGTCCTTGGCGATGCATGTTGGCTTGGTCTTGTCAAAGATGCGGACACCGTGAACGATCACGTCCTTCGACTCGCGGAATAAGTCCTCTAACTCTGTGGACCACTCGAAGCGTTCTCCACTTTTCAGGAGCTTCCGGAATGGCTGCATTCGTTCGGCCATACTAAAGGCGTAGGCCACTTGGTTGACCAGCCCGAACCACGATCTGACGTCAGTGACGTTACGCGGTTGGGGGAAATCGTGGATCGCCTCCAGGTAGCGGCTGCACGGTCGCACGTCAGTCATGGTGATCGTGAAGCCCGCGAAGTCCACCGTGGGTGCGCTGAAGATGAACTTCTCCGGGTTAAGGATGATTCCATTCCTGCCGCATATATCCAGCCATTGGATATATCACCTCGATCGTATCTGACCATAGTAGCGTGTCAGCCACGCACTTAGTCTTGTCACCAATGTCTGCGACGATCTCGTCGTATCGTCGTGAGTAAGCGTCCCCCGATGCCATGTACCCTTGTGGGCCGATAGGTACCAGTAGCGCCCCATGGAGTGATGAACGTCGTCTTGTGGCGGTCGTCCTCGTGTAGTGGGACGCTGTGGTAACCGTTTCATGCGTCGAACACTGTCTTGCGCTTCTCATTAGGTACACGTCTCGCCTGGTGGAATGGGGATTGGATGTGGTGGGTCTCGCGGAACGCATGCTTGTTCAAGGCCTGGAAGTCGACGGTGCGTCGCGGCTTGCCGTTCTTTTTTGCGCAGACTACCATGCGGTGACACCATGTCACCGGCGTACCGACGGGTACTTCCTCCAACACCCCGAGACGAACGTTCTGGTCAAGGCCTGCTTTTACCTCGTCTCGCCAGTGTATGGCCACGGGG